AAAAAAAAAAAAACCCTTAAAAAAACCAATTCTAAAGATTGAAAAAAACTTCCCTTTCATTGAACTTACGCTATTGTTTGAAAAAGAGAATACTGTGTTTTGTGAAGAAAAATTAAGATAATGAAACTCTCCTCGCAAATTTCGTAACTTGCGACTAATCACAAAGGATAGAATTTCAATTAATCAGTGATCATACCTCCGCCATCGAATATGCTGAAACTTGGAAGAGACAAGAAATCTGCAAAGGAATCTTGTCCAGATCATATGGAGCCAACACAAATTGTAAGAAATGGGGCTAACCTTCCATGAGGCTTGTGCACCGAATAAGACTACCGACAAATGATTAGGACACTCAACAAATTGTTCAAAGTTGGGACAGTACGTGTTCCATGGAATGGCGGGGCCTGCATTTTGCCAGCAATGGCCGAGCCTTTGGCATTGTGAGTCCTGCCCCTTCACTCATGTCCAGAAGCCCTTCGCCAGCTCTCTCACACTCAAAGCACTGAATCAGTGATCCTAATGCCAATGCAACCACTCTCATTGCCAAACCCTCCCCGGGACAACCTCTCCTTCCATACCCAAATGGCATCCACTTGAAGCCATCTCTTACTACTCCTAGACTGATGGACATTTCAGGCTTGAATTTTGTGGGTTCTTCCCATAAATTGGGGTCGTTTTGTATTGCCCACGCATTCACCAATAGCATCGTGCCACGGGGAACACGAAAACCTCCAACAGTGCACTCAGCTGATGACTCGTGTGTTGGTAGGATTAGGGCAGCTGGGAACATTCGGAGTGTCTCTTTGATGATTGCTTGGACATAGGGAAGCTCAGAAAGGTCAGTGTCATTAATCAGTCTGGATTCCCCTATCTTGGTGTCAATTTCGGTTTGGGCCTTCTTAAGCACCTCTGGGTTGTTGAGTAAAAGTGACATTGCCCACTCTCATGTCCCAGCTGAAGTGTCAGTTCCTGCTGATAACATGACCTGCACATGAAAAATCATGCAACTTCTACTATTATCTGCAGGAACACTTTCCATTGCGCCAGGATTTGGACATAGATGGACATTAAATGATGAGGCAAAGGTGAATTTACAGCTGAGGAACTAACTTTAATCAATTGGTTTCAGAATCTAAGGGAATATATGGTGAGAGCCTCAATATTGTTTATATAACCAGATGCAGGAAGCACACAAAAAGGATCAAATTTCGTTTCAANGCTGCAAAAAAAATATTATCACATGCAGAATAAGAATACATACATCTTACTTCAGACCTTATAATAGCAAAAGTCACATGTTGGGCCACCTCATTTAATTTATTATTACATCAAAATNGTTGCAAAAAAAATATTATCACATGCAGAATAAGAATACATACATCTTACTTCAGACCTTCTAATAGCAAAAGTCACATGTTGGGCCACCTCATTTAATTTATTATTACATCAAAATTTTAAAATTTACTTTTGTTAAAAAAATGTTACTAGCATATAATTGAAAGGCTTTTTTTTATAATATAAGACACTGTTATTGTTGAAATAGCATAGGGTATCAACATTAAATACATTTTAATTGTTAATCTTAGGGTAATAATGCTATAGATTTTCCAATTTAATACATATAGGACTCGTTTGGTTACCGTATTAAAAATTGATAGATTAAATAAAGTAATTCAGTCTAATATAATACGGAATGACAAAAGACAAAATTAAATAAGGTATTAGAATAATAAGTAATTTTATCTAGTGTTTAACAATATACAATATAAATATTGGATAATAGTTATTTAATCTAATCGGTTATTTAGTTAGGAAATTATTTTATCGTATTAATGTTGAATTAATAAAANCGTAGGGTATCAACATTAAGTACATTTTAATTGTTAATCTTAGGGTAATAATGCTTTAGATTTTCCAATTTAATACATATAGGACTCGTTTGGTTGCCGTATTAAAAATTGATAGATTAAATAAAGTAATTCAGTCTAATATAATACGGAATGATAAAAGACAAAATTAAATAAGGTATTAGAATAATAAGTAATTTTATCTAGTGTTTAACAATATACAATATAAACGTTGGATAATAGTTATTTAATATAATCGGTTATTTAGTTAGGAAATTATTTTATCGTATTAATGTTGAATTAATAAAAATATCATCAATCAGGGTTTATTATATTGATAACAATTTGATTTTATCAGTTATGAATTTATAATAGTAAATGTATAAAATAATACGTTTGAGCTAGATTATAATACCACATTTTTTGGTTGTATTAAAATACCTCTATAATACAGGCCAATCGTATAAAAAATATACGATAAGTATACATTTTTGAAATTAATACGGTATCAAATTTTCTTATCAAATAAAATATTAAGTCCGATTAAATAAAAAATAATACAATCTAATATTTAATCCCCTTAGTATTGTTGTTGCTAAAATTTTTGCTCCCACTATCCCAAATTTCTAACTTCACCCTTGCTAGTGGTGGCGACACAATGGTGGGTATTAGAAAGTTAAGTTTGTAAAATGTATTGAGAATATATTTATCTATTATGAGAAATTTATAAAAAAATTACTGGTTAATATTTTCAACATTTAGTGATAACTAGGGAAATGAGAAACATGAATAATATGAATTAGTGGTTGAAGGACCGAAATTATGTGAGTTTCATCTATCGGACACTTTGACAAAGATCTCGAAGAAGGGGTTTAATGAGGGAAGGGAGGATCCCGAGTAGCAGCACGCTGGGGGCATCGCGTACATGACATTCTCGAGATCGTGGTCATGTGATGACCAATCACAATCATTAACCTTGGGAGACCCCTTTTGCCTTGGTTGTCACACTCCTCTCCGGGCCGCATCTAGGAAGTTATAAGCTGGCGTGAGTGTCAAACGGTCGTAGCTGGCAAACTGACTTGTCCAAACACTATATCATAAATATCTGCATTACTTGTCCACTGTAAGAGATTTTGTACTTATCTGGTGAGAGCATTTACTCTATTTACCCTCTACGTAATTGGTTGGTCCCTCCATTAATAGGCTATTTGAGTTACTTCCATCTCATCTATTTATCCTATTCATCCCTTTTGATTATCTTTAATATAAACGCGTATGTCAACCTCTTTTAACTCCTCACCTACAATTTTCTAATCGTGTATTAGTGGAATTAGTAATAAATTATGTTTGTTCCCGTCATATTTAAGTCGTTTGCATATAGTTTATGACCTGCAGGAGCAGTCCAAAGCTACAGAACAAATTTGTGACAAATCATAAAGTTGGGCGCTTTAAATTTGGTTCNGGATTTATAATAGTAAATGTATAAAATAATACGTTTGAGCTAGATTATAATACCACATTTTTTGGTTGTATTAAAATACCTCTATAATACAGGCCAATCGTATAAAAAATATACGATAAGTATACATTTTTGAAATTAATACGGTATCAAATTTTCTTATCAAATAAAATATTAAGTCCGATTAAATAAAAAATAATACAATCTAATATTTAATCCCCTTAGTATNGAATTTATAATAGTAAATGTATAAAATAATACGTTTGAGCTAGATTATAATACCACATTTTTTGGTGGTATTAAAATACCTCTATAATACAGGCCTATCGTATAAAAAATATACGATAAATATATATTTTTGAAATTAATACGGTATCAAATTTTCTTATCAAATAAAGTATTAAGTCCGATTAAATAAAAAATAATACAATCTAATATTTAATCCCCTTAGTATTGTTGTTGCTAAAATTTTTGCTCCCACTATCCCAAATTTCTAACTTCACCCTTGCTAGTGGTGGCGACACAATGGTGAGTATTAGAAAGTTAAATTTGTAAAATGTATTGAGAATATATTTATCTATTATGAGAAATTTATAAAAAAATTACTGGTTAATATTTTCAACATTTAGTGATAACTAGGGAAATGAGAAACATGAATAATGTGAATTAGTGATTGAAGGACCGAAATTATGTGAGTTTCATCTATCGGACACTTTGACAAAGATCTCGAAGAAGGGGTTTAATGAGGGAAGGGAGGATCCCGAGTAGCAGCACGCTGGGGGCATCGCGTACATGACATTCTCGAGATCGTGGTCATGTGATGACCAATCACAATCATTAACCTTGGGAGACCCCTTTTGCCTTGGTTGTCACACTCCTCTCCGGGCCGCATCTAGGAAGTTATAAGCTGGCGTGAGTGTCAAACGGTCGTAGCTGGCAAACTGACTTGTCCAAACACTATATCATAAATATCTGCATTACTTGTCCACTGTAAGAGATTTTGTACTTATCTGGTGAGAGCATTTACTCTATTTACCCTCTACGCAATTGGTTGGTCCCTCCATTAATAGGCTATTTGAGTTACTTCCATCTCATCTACTTATCCTATTCATCCCTTTTGATTATCTTTAATATAAACGCGTATGTCAACCTCTTTTAACTCCTCACCTACAATTTTCTAATCGTGTATTAGTGGAATTAGTAATAAATTATGTTTGTTCCCGTCATATTTAAGTCGTTTGCATATAGTTTATGACCTGCAGGAGCAGTCCAAAGCTNAAAAAAACCCTTAAAAAAACCAATTCTAAAGATTGAAAAAAACTTCCCTTTCATTGAACTTACGCTATTGTTTGAAAAAGAGAATACTGTGTTTTGTGAAGAAAAATTAAGATAATGAAACTCTCCTCGCAAATTTCGTAACTTGCGACTAATCACAAAGGATAGAATTTCAATTAATCAGTGATCATACCTCCGCCATCGAATATGCTGAAACTTGGAAGAGACAAGAAATCTGCAAAGGAATCTTGTCCAGATCATATGGAGCCAACACAAATTGTAAGAAATGGGGCTAACCTTCCCTGAGGCTTGTGCACCGAATAAGACTACCGACAAATGATTAGGACACTCAACAAATTGTTCAAAGTTGGGACAGTACGTGTTCCATGGAATGGCGGGGCCTGCATTTTGCCAGCAATGGCCGAGCCTTTGGCATTGTGAGTCCTGCCCCTTCACTCATGTCCAGAAGCCCTTCGCCAGCTCTCTCACACTCAAAGCACTGAATCAGTGATCCTAATGCCAATGCAACCACTCTCATTGCCAAACCCTCCCCGTTACAACCTCTCCTTCCATACTCAAATGGCATCCACTTGAAGCCATCTCTTACTACTCCTAGACTGATGGACCTTTCAGGCTTGAATTTTGTGGGTTCTTCCCATAAATTGGGGTCGTTTTGTATTGCCCACGCATTCACCAATAGCATCGTGCCACGGGGAACACGAAAACCTCCAACAGTGCACTCAGCTGATGACTCGTGTGCTGGTAGGATTAGGGCAGCTGGGAACATTCGGAGTGTCTCTTTGATGATTGCTTGGACATAGGGAAGCTCAGAAAGGTCAGTATCATTAATCAGTCTGGATTCCCCTATCTTGGTGTCAATTTCGGTTTGGGCCTTCTTAAGCACCTCTGGGTTGTTGAGTAAAAGTGACATTGCCCACTCTCATGTCCCAGCTGAAGTGTCAGTTCCTGCTGATAACATGACCTGCACATGAAAAATCATGCAACTTCTACTATTATCTGCAGGAACACTTTCCATTGCGCCAGGATTTGGACATAGATGGACATTAAATGATGAGGCAAAGGTGAATTTACAGCTGAGGAACTAATTTTAATCAATTGGTTTCAGAATCAAAGGGAATATATGGTGAGAGCCTCAACATTGTTTATATAACCAGATGCAGGAAGCACACAAAAAGGATCAAATTTCGTTTCAATTCAACGATTTGTAGTTGTGGTCGGCTCAAAAATATTTCAGAAATATAATGAGAATAGAGAAATTCAAAAATATTGTACAACATTGACCGAAATATTTTAAACCATATTCTGAAACTTTAGAATCATGAAATACAATCAAATCACTTATACATCTTAGTTTCCATCAAAACCCAAACATTTTGATTGTTTGTGTGACAAACCNAGGAATCTTGTCCAGATCATATGGAGCCAACACAAATTGTAAGAAATGGGGCTAACCTTCCATGAGGCTTGTGCACCGAATAAGACTACCGACAAATGATTAGGACACTCAACAAATTGTTCAAAGTTGGGACAGTACGTGTTCCATGGAATGGCGGGGCCTGCATTTTGCCAGCAATGGCCGAGCCTTTGGCATTGTGAGTCCTGCCCCTTCACTCATGTCCAGAAGCCCTTCGCCAGCTCTCTCACACTCAAAGNTTATACCTAAAGTTCACACATTAGACCGATGCAGTCCCTCGCCCTAGTTGCCGTCTAAATCATTAACGGAAAATCATCATGTGCTATGCACATGACTGCAATTGAGGGTTATTTTGATCATTGTCCAACAATCTCTACAGTCAGACACTCTTGGTACAGTTATAAATAATACTAGGCATTAGCCCAAACATCCTTCTTCTTCTTCCTCATTTTTTTTTCCCATTTTTCTAAACACAGACAACACACATGANGGGACAACCTCTCCTTCCATACCCAAATGGCATCCACTTGAAGCCATCTCTTACTACTCCTAGACTGATGGACATTTCAGGCTTGAATTTTGTGGGTTCTTCCCATAAATTGGGGTCGTTTTGTATTGCCCACGCATTCACCAATAGCATCGTGCCACGGGGAACACGAAAACCTCCAACAGTGCACTCAGCTGATGACTCGTGTGTTGGTAGGATTAGGGCAGCTGGGAACATTCGGAGTGTCTCTTTGATGATTGCTTGGACATAGGGAAGCTCAGAAAGGTCAGTGTCATTAATCAGTCTGGATTCCCCTATCTTGGTGTCAATTTCGGTTTGGGCCTTCTTAAGCACCTCTGGGTTGTTGAGTAAAAGTGACATTGCCCACTCTCATGTCCCAGCTGAAGTGTCAGTTCCTGCTGATAACATGACCTGCACATGAAAAATCATGCAACTTCTACTATTATCTGCAGGAACACTTTCCATTGCGCCAGGATTTGGACATAGATGGACATTAAATGATGAGGCAAAGGTGAATTTACAGCTGAGGAACTAACTTTAATCAATTGGTTTCAGAATCTAAGGGAATATATGGTGAGAGCCTCAATATTGTTTATATAACCAGATGCAGGAAGCACACAAAAAGGATCAAATTTCGTTTCAATTCAACGATTTGTAGTTGTGGTCGGCTCAAAAATATTTCAGAAATATAATGAGAATAGAGAAATTCAAAAATATTGTACAACATTGACCGAAATATTTTGAACCATATTCTGAAACTTTAGAATCATGAAATACAATCAAATCACTTATACATCTTAGTTTCCATCAAAACCCAAACATTTTGATTGTTTTTGTGACAAACCAAACAAATTTGTTGATCCATGATAGGCCCTAAAAATTTCTAATGTGGAAAGGTGAAGAACGTCCACCAGTTCAATTTGAGGGAATGATATAAATTTGGGTAAATTACACCGTTAATCCCTAAGGTTTACCACTTATTACATTTTTGTCTCTAAAGTTCTAATTTTGTTAATTTCATACCTAAAGTTCACACATTAGACCGATGCAGTCCCTCGCCCTAATTGCCGTCTAAATCATTAACGGAAAATCATCATGTGCTATGCACATGACTGCAATTGAGGGTAATTTTATCATTGTTCAACAATCTCTACAGTCAAACACTCTTGGTACACTTATAAATAATACTAGGCATTAGCCCAAACATCCTTCTTCTTCTTCTTCCTCATTTTTTTTCCCATTTTTCTAAACACAGACAACACACATGATAAGGCCAATATACACAATATACACACAACATCTCCCCCCCCCCCCCCCNTGTTGGTAGGATTAGGGCAGCTGGGAACATTCGGAGTGTCTCTTTGATGATTGCTTGGACATAGGGAAGCTCAGAAAGGTCAGTGTCATTAATCAGTCTGGATTCCCCTATCTTGGTGTCAATTTCGGTTTGGGCCTTCTTAAGCACCTCTGGGTTGTTGAGTAAAAGTGACATTGCCCACTCTCATNATTGAGAAAAATGGGGTTTGGCTTGCATAACAAAAAAAAAACCCCTTTCTCTGTCTTAAGGATGTCGACACCGATCACACACCCACCACGACGACCAAATCTTCCTCTCGGTTCTCGCACATGTTTTCTCTCAACCGGCGCCCCACCATCACTGTTTCCATGTCCAAATTGATATCAAAATAAAAAATCTGTGCGGAGAGAGAGAGAGAGGAGAAATTGACTATTGACAGTGAGATTGGTGGTCGATCGGCGTTTGGTTTAGATGGTGTTTAGTAGTGGAGGCATGCTTGTGGCGTTGGTGATGGGCAGATGAGGTGTGGGGAGGATTGTGCNGGAGAAATTGACTATTGACAGTGAGATTGGTGGTCGATCGGCGTTTGGTTTAGATGGTGTTTAGTACTGGAGGCATGCTTGTGGCGTTGGTGATGGGCAGATGAGGTGTGGGGAGGATTGTGCTCAAGTGGGTTTCAACAATAGAAATGTGGAATCAGATCCATACACAGAGAGAGGACGAGAGAGAGAAGGTTAAATGACTCCCTTGCCCTTCGGTCTTCCTCACATTCCACTTACTTGGTTCTTTTTCGTCATTTTTTAGGACGACAGTGACAAACCTCACGGTGCAATTTACCCTATAAATTTTGATTTAAATGAATAACTACCTATACAAGTGGATTCTCCATCTTTAAAGCTAGATGATTGAGGGTGAAGAGAAGACAGAGCAACATAACTTACTATCATAATGCCTCTGATGATTTCATCTTTACAGTATTCAGGTTCAGTTTCTTGGAGTGACAAGAGAACATCGATCATCGTCTTGTTCCTCTGTTCAGGAGAAGAATTACTCCTCATTCTTCTATGCTCTTCAATCAGATCTTGCATGAACTTGTCTCTCTTCTCCTGCAATACCTTCAACCTCTTTTCAATCCCATTGAATACAACCCACTTCAGAATTGGCAAGAAATCTCCAATGTTTGTACCACTCAATAGAAAAGTCTCAGTCAAAATCTCCTTGAACTTTCTTGTTTCCTCCAATTCTGTAGAGTTTTCACTGTAGTATCGCTTTCCGGCAATCATCTGCATCATGATGTTGAGTATCATCTCCAAAAAGGCTGATTTCATCGCCACCATGTGGTATTCATCATCACTGGACCCTCTAAAAAGCCGCCCTATTAGTGAGTGAACCTCTTGACTACGTATGCCAGAAAACATTTGAATGCGACTAGTTGACAGGATTTCCAAGGTGGCTATCCGCCTTAAGTTGCGCCACTGGTGGCCATATGAGGCCCAAACAAGGGTGGTGTAATTATAACCAAGGTGTTTTCCGGCAAGCAAAGCGGGGCGGTTTGCAAAGACGATATCGTTTTTGGTAAAGCACTCCTCTGCTGCAGAGGGGGATGATACAAGGAGGACAGGGCGAGAACCCAATTGAAGGAACTGTACTGGACCATATTGGTTGGAAATCTTTGCTGAGGATCGATGAAGGGGTTTCTTGAAGAGATATAGATGGCCTATTATGGGTAAGGAGAGATAAGGGTTTGGTGTGAGGTTTTGGAATTTTCTCAGAAAATGCTTGGTGAGATAATAGAGGAAAGCAAATAGAAGAACGTAGTATGAGATCGCCATGGATGTGGCTTGATGACAGAACCAAGGTTTTTGTCCACTGTCCTGCACAATGAGTTATATTGTAACCAGAACTACCAACCCTTTAAAATGTGTCAGGTTTCAAGTACATGGAATTAAGTTAGTGAATGTTGTGGGCAGATACCGTGCAGAAATAAAGCAAATGATGAATAGAGGGATCAACCTAGATCAGTCATATGTAATGACATACACATAGATATTGTAATTTTTTATTTTTTATTTTGTAATTGTATACACGTTGCAATTCTAATATGATCGATCAATCCAAATCGATACGGACAGCAGGTCTAGAATGATTTTTAACGAATCGGGTCATAAAAGTGTTCATTTGCCAAATATAAATGGATTGATAATAATAAGGCTAATTATAATTTACACAAATATGAATTCAATAACATTAGAAATCATCTATATACAAGTGAGTCAAGTACGAATCGAATAAATTTTAATGTAGAATTAACTGGACTGACTTAAAACTTATAACTATATATGATTCTCGTTGTGGCATGTCGTCCCATAGATTTCTTAAAATTTATGACTATATATGGTTGTCCTTTGGCATGTCGCCCCATAGATTTCAACTGGGTGACGTAGTTGCAACGTTCATTTGGAGTTTCCAAAGTTGGTATTTTTGTCAGACCCTTGGCCGGCAAGTGTGAGAATATTCCCACTAGTCGATTTGCATGAAGTAAGCATTTGCCCACCAAAGCCTCTGAGCTTAAAAGTATGCAAAGCTGCGGTTAGGAAGATTGGCAGCAGAGCGATACCATCCATCCTAGGCGGCCGTTCATCTATAGAGGCAAGTGAAGTTGGTAAGCCTTATGATAGGCAACTATCTTGAGGCCTAAGATCCAATGCAATTGGTAGAGCTGTGACTTTATATATCTCTTGGCTTGAAGAATCAACAACATCCTATTAATCAAAGAGATAAAAATTAATTTGATCAACAAATTTACCCTAAAGAATATATTAGAGTTTAATGATATCTCAAACAAGCTCTAGCTATGAGCTCAGGTCAGGAGGTTAGGTCAGACACGAGGAACTCAATGAATTAGGGGTGGAGCTCCCTTTGGAGAGATAGTAGCTGAACCGATCAGGAAACAGTTGGATGACTGTGAAAATTGGGTCCCATGCATAAAACTTTCAACCAACCAAGATTCTCTCCTAAAATCAAGGAGGATCCTATGAATAATGGGCAAAGATCTTGGCTGAAATACCACGGAATAGGGGGTGACCTTATAAATACTATGTAATGTCTCATCGAGAGAGAGAAAAAAAAAAAAAAAAAGAACCCTAATCGGATTGTGCACTGTCTTGTATTACGTTCAAATAATCAATAGAGAAAAAAAAGAATAAGAGTCTCCATTCGAAAGTGGATTAGCCGAACTCTAAAGTCGGTAAATCACTATATTCCTACTATACAAATTCTCCTATCCTCTAAGAAATACTTCATCACTGTCATTACGAAGTTGACGCCCTAACTTTACCATTGATCCCACGCACTCTGTACTCACGTCAGTTTGGCACCATCAGAGTTAAATATCGACCGATTATGGGACTTTGGAATTGTGTTTTCCTTTTGTGGCGATCAATCTACACTAACCACCCTACTGTGGTCTCAACTTTGTCAGCACAACTTTATCCCTTGCAAATTCTTTTATAGAGCTTGTCTTTGTAATCCACCGCACATGTTCATGCTATGTTTCCATATTATTCAATCTAAATGAAGGGACAAAAAAAAAAAAGGGAACTCGCAAAATTGGCCGATGCATCAAAGCAAGTGAAAATTTTAGCGTTTTAAATAGGATCCCTTGGTCAATACGTACAGCTCAAAAACCATGCCAATCTGGGCCTGTTTCAGTTTTTATTTCAGTATATATGGACTTCGATACATATTGGAGCTTTTTTCTTTTTTATTTTTTTGACACGATGGGAATTCATTAAAAATCGGAGAAGGAAACTTTTTTCTTCGTATACTGAGGAGCATTTGGGGGTCGATACAAAATTATAAGAAAATTTAGTGTCCAGCTCGGAACAAATTATTGAACTTCACAAACAGTTGATAGATGAGAAAGAAGGTTCTCCATGGTCTTGCGTGGCCTACATTTTGCTAGCAACGGCTGAGCCTTTGGCGCTGTGAGTCCTGCCCCTTCACNTATGAGCTCAGGTCAGGAGGTTAGGTCAGACACGAGGAACTTAATGAATTAGGGGTGGAGCTCCCTTTGGAGAGATAGTAGCTGAACCGATCAGGAAACAGTTGGATGACTGCGAAAATTGGGCCCCATGCATAAAACTTTCAACCAACCAAGATTCTCTTCTAAAATCAAGGAGGATCCCATGAATAATGGGCAAAGATCTCGGCTGAAATACCACGGAATAGGGGGTGACCTTATAAATACTATGTAATGTCTCATCGAGAGAGAGAAAACAAAAAAAAAGAACCCTAATCGGATTATGCACTGTCTTGTATTACGTTCAAATAAGCAATAGAGAAAAAAAAGAACAAGAGTTTCCATTCGAAAGTGGATTAGCCGAACTCTAAAGTCGGTAAACCACTATATTCCTACTATACAAATTCTCTTATCCTCTAAGAAATACTTCATCACTGTCATTACGAAGTTGACGCCCTAACTTTACCATTGGTCTCACGCACTCTGTACTCACGTCAGTTTGGCACCATCAGAGTTAAATATCGACCGATTATGGGACTTTGGAATTGTGTTTTCCTTTTGTGGCAATCAATCTACACTAACCACCCTACTGTGGTCTCAACTTTGTCAGCACAGCTTTATCCCTTGCAAATTCTTTTATAGAGCTTGTCTTTGTAATCCACCGCACATGTTCATGCTATGTTTCCATATTATTCAATCTAAATGAAGGGACAAAAAAAAAAAAGGGAACTCGCAAAATTGGCCGATGCATCAAAGCAAGTGAAAATTTTAGCGTTTTAAATAGGATCCCTTGGTCAATACGTACAGCTCAAAAACCATGCCAATCTGGGCCTGTTTCAGTTTTTATTTCAGTATATATGGACTTCGATACATATTGGAGCTTTTTTCTTTTTTATTTTTTTGACACGATGGGAATTCATTAAAAATCGGAGAAGGAAACTTTTTTCTTCGTATACTGAGGAGCATTTGGGGGTCGATACAAAATTATAAGAAAATTTAGTGTCCAGCTCGGAACAAATTATTGAACTTCACAAACAGTTGATAGATGAGAAAGAAGGTTCTCCATGGTCTTGCGTGGCCTACATTTTGCTAGCAACGGCTGAGCCTTTGGCGCTGTGAGTCCTGCCCCTTCACTCATATCCACAAGTTCTTCACTAGCTCTGCCCCACTCAAAGCATTGAACCAGTGATCCTAATGCCAATCCAACCACTTGCATTGCCAAACCCTCCCCAGGACAACCCCTCCTTCCATACCCGAATGGCATCCACTTGAAGTCATCTCTTGCCCTTTCTAGATTGATAAGCCTTTCAGGCTTGAATTTTGTGGGTTCTTCCCATAAATTAGGGTCATTTTGTATTGCCCACGCATTCACCAATAGCATCTTGCCACGGGGAACACGAAAACCACCAATAGTGCACTCCTCGGACGACTAGTGTGCTGGTAGGATCGGTGCAGCTGGGCACATTCGGAGTGTCTCTTTGATGATTGCTTGGAGATAGGGAAGCTCAGAAAGGTCAGTGTCATTAATCAGTCGGATACCCGTATCTGGGTGTCAATTTCGTTTTTGGCCTGCTTAAGCACCTCTGGGTTGTTGAGCAAAAGTGACATTGCCCACTCTAATGTCCCAGATGAAGTGTCTGTTCCTGCGGATAACATGACCTGCAAATAGAAACTCAAGTAACCTCCATTGTTTTATACAGAAATTGGTTATGCAGTGGCCATACAAGATGAGGCAGGGGTTTTGATATTAAGGGGGGCCAAGTGGTGGAGCTAATAATTTATTTCATGAGATCATTCTAAGACTCCTTAATGTAAATTTTTTTATGTGTGTATAACCTATCAAACTTAATTTTACCACACTATATTGGAATGTTGTCAATTTTTTCAATAAAATCTAAATAATCAATTCAAATTTGTCCAATTTGATATAGAAAGATTATGATCAATTTATTAGAAAATTTATAATTTAAGTATAATTAATTCCATCATACAATCATCCACTACAACAACATTCTAATTCAATTTCATTATATCACGAACAATTTTGACACCAAATCATTAAGTAAGCCAGCAATTATAGATTAACTTATGTTTAATTTCACCAAATTAAATTTGACCACAAACATAATATTCAAAATAACTTTCAAAAAAAAAAGTGAAACATATGCATTTTCCCAAGAAGAGCCACAAAGACAATATAAAACTATACGCATTATATTCTTCATCACTCTTGAAATTTGAACCCGCAACTACCAACGTACACTAGTAGTGGTTGCGGTGGTTCCCAAGAACATTAAAACTCCAAATTCTGTTTAATTATAAAGTTGCATACTCATCAAACTATAGATTTCATTGATAGCTTTTCTTCAATCTCAAGAATTTGTAAATTTAACTTATATTTAACACTTGATAGACTGTTAAATTAAAATTAATGTCAAACTTATAGGCAATTCTATGTAGTTGAATAATTAGCTATCAAAGTTATAATCAATATGGTTAATTTAATAAATAATTTCAAAATTTACAATTAATTATGGTGGTTAACTAAGAAAATTATTTTTGCACTAACGCTAAATCATCTTAGTATTAATATATAGGGCTATTGATACAATCTCCATTATTGAATATTATTGGAACTCACTTATTTGATGGTAAAAACCATGTCATCCCAAGTGATGTAACTCAGTTTTTACCATCAAATAAGTGGGTCTTATTAGTACACATTAGGCTTGTTTAGTTGTCGTATTGTAAGAATGAATTGTATTAGAAAATACAGACCAATTCCATATTGGTGGATAAAATACAAGATTA